TATGGTGTCAAGGCCGAAGTCGTTCCATGCCTTCGAATATCTGCCTCTCTCTCTCTCTCTCTCTCTCACTCTCTTAGAATCATATACGTATACATATATATATGTATACATACATGCATTCTCTCGCTCACCATTTCAGATTATTGCCTATACTGAATTACCTGTCTACCCTGGCTTACGTGAGAAAATCGAGCTCGTTCGTCTCGTAATAAGATAACGATATCGCCCTGTCGACGCTGGATTCGTGACGTTCACCCGAGTCGAAGATCGAACGAGAACGAATCGAGAGATCTCTCGATGACGATATTTGAATATAATAGGTATCCTCTTAAGGTAAAATTTTTATTTCCAATACTTTCTATGTATATATATATATATATATATATATATATATATATTATATATTTTTTTTTTGTTCCTTTTTTTCTTCTTTTTTTTTTTTTATCGAAATATATTTTATACCTGCCAATCGTAAATGTGCCATTTGTATCCGTTCTTTCCTTCTATTTTTTAGTTTTATGTGAAAAACCATTGAAATGTTGATACAAATTTATTGAGAATATATTTTGATATTGACTTTCACGCCTTTTTTCTTTTTTCTTTTTTTATTTTTTTATTTTTTTTTCTGTTTTCTTTTTCGTCGTTTCCGAATTCCCGAACAATATGTTCATGAGAGCGCAGGAATTTATTTTATTTTCTTTTCATTTTGGATTGACACACGAAAATGTGAAACAAAAACAATTCGCGAAGTATATCTCGTATAATTATATTTAAACATTAAGGATTGAATTAATTGATTTGATATATTTCATGGGTAAAGAAAAAAGTAAAAATAAAAGAAATAAAAAGAATAAAAAACTGAAAGTAGGGACATTGAAATTTCGTATTATAAGGATCGAACGAACGAACGTACAAACGAATTGCATGGTATCGTTTAGATCTTCAGCTTTTTTTTTCTCTCTAATCTTCAAATTTTACGCGACAATTATTATCATTCTCGAAATAGTTAATAATCGTCGGAGAAGAAGAGATAATTTCTTGCCCGTGCGTTCCACGTACCGTTCCAATAAACCTTCGAATTTTTTTCACCAACCGATTTCGTATATATCATCGACGATGATAACGAAACTCGATTCGAAAATTTAAATCACGAAACGCGTTGAAATCTTGACGACATAACGCATCAGCGTGAATTCGCGACGGGGCTAGTGACGACAACGGCATGAACGGGAAAAAGAAAAAAGAAAAAAAAAAGAAACAAGGAAAAAAAAGAAAAAAAAAGTGCAAGAGAGAGAAAGAGAGAGAGAGAGAGAACGAAAAAAGGAGAAAGAAAAAAAGGAGGAAAAAAAACGAAGAGAAAAAAAGGACGCCGCGTAACGCGGACTATCGATCAATGCGAACGCACGGTCGGAAGGCAGTCAGCGGGAAAAATATCGTCTCCAAAGCGAATCTCGGTCACGTTTCGTTCGTTCGTTCGTTCGTTCGTTCGTTCGTTCGTTCGTTCGTTCGTTCGTTCGTTCGGAGAGTTCATTCCCGTAATGAAACGAGAGAATCTCGAAAAATTCAAATCGCCAAGGGAAGTCCGGGAAATAAGGGGCGGCAGGGGATGAAGCGAAGACAACAAAGCCCGTCTCCCGTCTTCGTTTTTATTCATTTGTCGCGATAGAAAGTCTCGTACGATTTCGGGAAATACCAAAATGTCATTGGCTAAAGTTTCCGTGGAATAATCTAACCGATATAACATAGAACAAAAGGGATATATGCGTTCGAATGAGAGAGCGAGGAAATGGTCGTTTCAGTTGCAAGCGAACGAGCAAGGGAATGAGAGTTCAAGGGGGTTGGATGGGTTGTGGAAGAAGATGGCGAGACAAGGAAAGAGAGAGAGAGAGAGAGAGAGAGAGAGAGAGAGAAAAAAATACTTAACGTAAAGAAGACGAAAGAAGATCGAGGAAAAACTATAGCGTTCCAAATATTTCATATCTGCCCGTAGTTCTCAATTTCTAATCCGATCATATTACGGAACTGAAAGTTCTTGCAAAACAAGATCTTGGTATGATCAAATCTCACGTGAAACTGTGAGACAACGGACAGAAAGAGAGAGAGAGAGAGAGAGAGAGAGAGAGAGAGAGAAAAAGAGAAAGGGTGGATTTTCTATCGTTCGTAATAAAGTCGCTATTTCGAAGTTTCTCTTGTCATGAAGAAATCTTGCGCACAGGATACCGAAATATCTCTTTATCGCGAATCGTAGAAAAATTTCGTCCCGAGCCACGAATGTTCGGACGTTATCTTTCTCTCTCTCTCTCTCTCTCTCTCTCCTTCTCTCTTTCTTTTTGATATTCGTCTTTTCGCGTGCCTCGCTTACGAAAAGGATCGGTCGTCGACGTTACGCGAGATCGATCGCACGATAAAATCGGGGCTCGAATTCGAAATCGTGGCGCCTTCAGTACCACAGCGTGTTTTATGATGTCAATCCTTTCACCCTCTTGCACTCTCCTCCTCTCTCTCTCTCTCTCTCTCTCTCTTTCTCTCTCTCTTTCTCTCTCTTTTTCTCTTTCCCTCTTATTTTTTTTCTCTTGCCCTTTTTTTTTCTGAATTTCTTTTTAAACCGACCGTAGAAATAACCGCCCACTCGAACGTCCAAGTTTCCCTTCGTAAATTCTTCGTAAAGGTCCGACGTTAAAGTCACGAACATGGAATAGACGCCTAAGGGGTAGAAGCGAAAATGCGAAGTATCATCCGTAGGAACGTGTGTAACGTATTTCCTCAGTCTTCAAAAAAGACTCTATGGTACACAAGTAGTGTATCTAGGTAGAACGAAAACATCAGCATGAATTGCGAGAAGGTATGTATATCTGTGTAAGTACTTATCTTATGTAGGTATATATATATATATATATATATATATATATATATGTGTAGATAAAGAGTGTATAGGGAGATCCTACGATGATTCACGAGCAAAATCTTTTGAGTGAGATATTATCGGTAGACTTAAAAATAAAGCGGTTATTTTACTACATACTTTGAGAAAAAGAAGAGGAGAGAGAGAGAGAGAGAGAAAGAGAGAAGGAAACACATCTAATTAGCTACGAAAGGAGTGTCGGTGTTTACAATGTATTCGAAAGGACTCCCCAGAGTCGACGTCTCATCTCGTTATTAGGATCGAGTTAAAACGTTCTAAAGAAAAAATGAGATAGAAAGAGAGAGAGAGAGAGAAAAAGAGAGAGAGAGAGAATAGTGAAAGAAAGAAAAAAAAATGAAAAGAAAGAAGAAAAAAGAAATAAAATCATCGAAAAGCTTACGATATCGCTTTTGGCGAGCATGTAACAAAGCCGTTCGATTCAAAAAAAAAGAAAAAAAAAAAAAGAAAAGAGAAAAAAAAATGAAAAATTGAAATCGCGACGATAGTACTCATTCGGATAAACGGGAGTTTATTGTTTAGCTGAGTAAAAAAAATGAAAGCAAGGGAAAAAAGGAAAAGGGAGAAAAAAGGGCGAGGAGGGGATAAAAAAAAAAAATATAAACCGAGAAGTCGTGCACGCAGTTAAAAAGTCAGTTATAAAGCGTAAATCCAATTTATCTTTTATCGACGTATCGATAACGGACACGTTAAAGATGAATGCACCAATGAGAAAAATGTTACGAACAATTTATTTTCCTTTTCTACCGATCATTCATGAGAAAAGAACAAAGCCGTTATTCTGCTCTACGAATTAAAAGAGATATATAAAGGAAAATATTATTGTGAGGTGTTCGTTCTCGTTGACTCCGCGCCTTGCCCGTGAACGAACAAGAACGAGGAATATATAGAAGAGGGAGGGAGGGAGGAAGGGAGAGAGAGAGAGAAAGAAAGAAAAGAAAAGAAAAAAATTGTTACTTTTTCCCCCACCTTTTTCATCTCAATACTCGTTCACCCCGCCTCGATCAAGAAAGATAGATAGAGACAGACAGACAAAGAGAGAGAGAGAGAGAGAGAAATAAAAACATGAATATATTTTCATTTTTTTTTTCTTTTTTTCTTTCTTGCTTTCTTTATCTTTATTACGTCCCGCAATCTCCGCAATCTCCTCGCTATCGAATACGATTGAAAGGGAAAGAAATCGTGTAGAAGAAAAAAAAGGAACGAAAGAGGGGAAAAAAAAAGGAATAAACAAATAAATAGACGATAATAATGAGTATCGGATAATAGGAGAAATTAAATGATCGATTAAATGATTTTTCTTACTTCGGATATTTTCTTGGTCAAGCATAGTACGTGTCTTGGTCCAGACGTCGCTGCGATCGGACGGACTGACTAACTGACGGACGGACGGACGGACGGATATATGCGTGCGCATACGAAGACGAAGCGAGAAGCGGTCCTGGGGGTTGATATAACCGCAGTAGTTCGGATGCTGCTCGTAGCCGTCGTTCGGTCGCGTTCGGTTATACTCGGTAGTCTCCGTCGATCTCTGCGGGGGCAGAGGCCTCCTTCCCTCTCTCGGAGAAGTACCACCAGTGCTCACACTCCCGCGTAAGCGAGCGGCCGGCCGGCGGTTTATACGCGTTCACTTGACGGCTCGTCCTTACGGGCTTTATACTTACGTACGGAGAGTTTGTTATATTTACGATAGTAGTAGTAAAAAAGAAAACAAAAAGAAGAAAAAAAACAAAAAGAAAAAAAAAACAAAACAAAAAAACGACGATTGGCTCTTCTCTCTTTCTCTCTCTCTCTCTCTTTCTTTCTCTCTTTCTCTCTCTCTTTCTCTCTCAATCTCTCTTCCTTCTTAAAGCCTCATTACATATAATTCATTTCTTTTTTTTTTAATCTCACACTTAATTCATTCTATCGTTCTCCCTTTGAATTTTCCTTTTCTTTCCGTTTTCCTTTTTTCATTTCTTTTTTTTTCTTTTTTTCTTCTTTTTTTTTTTTTATTCCTCTTTGCCTCCTTCCTTCTTTTCTCTCTCTCTCTCTCTCTCTCTCTCTCTCTCTCTCCTTTTATTCCTTCGAAAATATATTCCTCCGGCTTGTCTCTTTATTATCACGATAAATAGATTTTCTCGACAAACCGAAGCTAAAGAGATAGAGATATAGATAGATAGATAGATAGTTGGATGGATGGATGGATGGATGGATGGATGGATGGATAGATGGATGGATGGTTAGATGGATATAGACGGAGATAGTGAAAGAAAGCAAGAAGTGAGAGTGAGAAAGCGCGAAAATTCGTTGGAAATCCGACGACATTGACAACGTCAAGGAGAAGAACAAGAAGAGAAGAAAGAGAAAGAAGAAGAAGAAGAAAAAGAAGAAAAAGAAGGATAAGAATAAAAAGAAGAAGGATTTTAAAGGAGTGGTCGATGCAATTATTGCAACGGAGAATAAGAAGAGAGGATAAATAAAACGAAACGAACATACATATAACAAGTATCGTAGTATTGATACGAAGTATAACGAAGTATACCGAAGTATACGAAGAATTTCTTGTTAACGTGATGTCAAGGTCGATGTGCTTCGAAGGATTCGCGACAAGGCGTGCCACCGATTCGTGATACATTTAACCTGTCGTTATTTCCAAAACGACAAACGATCTCTACGATCGTATTGTACGTCCTTTTTTTTCGTTTCTTTCCTCTTTCCCTCCCTCGTTTTTTTTATCTTTTATTTATTTTATTTCTTTTTTAATTTATTTATTTTTTTTTTTTTTTTTATTTTTCTCTTTCAAACGAAAGAAGGAAGGAAGGACCATCTTTTGGCTGCTTCAATTCGTTTCTTTTTTTTTTTGTTTTTTTTTCTTTTTTCCTTTACGAATTTACGAACGAAATGTATGGTGTCATATGTTACGAAAGTTTTCATTTTATCGTACGCGATTTATTTAGTTAACGTTATAAGTTGGTTTTTTTTTGTTTTTTTTTGTGTTTTTCTTTTTTTTTTTTTTTTGACGAAGAAATTCTTGGCGAAGGACGGACGAAAGGATTCGTTCGCTCGCGATCCTTCGACGAAATATAAATTAACGGTTAGATCTATGAAGAAATTTTTTATGATTGTAATCGTTGTTCAAGTGTCGTTTATCATTATAATATATATATATATATAAATATATATATATATATATATATAGAGAGAGAGAGAGAGAGAGATAACGTTACACCTATAACGTTATCTTCTCTCATATTTGTGATAGCAACGTCAGACAATCATCGATAAAGGATTATATATTCTTCTGGAAGATCGTAAGAGATAGGAAAGAAGAGAAGAGAAGAGAAAAAAAGAAAAACAAATAGAAAATTTAAATAAAATAAATCGAAGAACGACAAAGGAAAGGAAAGGAAAGGAAAGGAAAGGAAAAAAGAAAATACGTATTTTGTATAATACGTATGACATTTAAGGTGCATATAAAACGTGTTATTCTTGGGATTAATTATTACGATTAATTTTGCGTCGTATCGATCGTAGTAAAAAGAAAAAAAGAAAAAAAAAAAACAAAAAGAAAAGAGAGAAAAACAAATAGAAAAGGAGAAAAAGGAAGATAAAATATTACGGGCAACGAGACAGACGAGGGAATTTTTTTTTCTTTTTTTTTTTTTTTTTCTGTCTTTCTTTCTTTCTTTTAGTTTTTTAGAAATTTTAAGATTGTTGTGGCTAAGAGAGAGGGAGAGAAAGAGAGAGGGAGAGAGAGAGAGAGAGAGAGAGAAATAAAAAAAAAAGAAAAGGAATAAAAGATCAATTTTCTCAGGAATGATTTTAGAGAACGACTAAAGAAAAGTAGATACATATATAAAAAAAGAAAAAAAGAAAAAGAAAAGAAAAAGAAAAAAAAAGAAAAGGAAAGCGAAATCCGTTTTTTTATAATTTCAAGAAATCGTCGCGATCCAATAATAGATTTTCGTTTTCGTTCGCTAAGGAGGATATCTTATTTCTTTTCTTTTTTCTTTTTTCTTTTTTCTTTTACTCTAATTTCTTTTACTTCTACGAAATCGTGTAAATCTCTTATTTCACTTTTGGTTTTGTTTCTTTCTCTCTACTTTTCTTCTTCTTTTTCTTTTTTTTCTCTTTCTCCTTTTCTTTTTCTTCTTTTTTTTTTTTCCGTTACTTTTTTTCCGTTACGAACAATCGACGATCGTCGAACGTTAGTACCAAGAAATAAATGTATTCTTTTTTTTTTCTTGGAAAGGGTTAAAAAAGAATATATATATATATATATATTATATAAATGTATATATATAATATCCTTTTTCGCGATTTGTAACCGACGAAAAAATCCGTTGATTCTCTCTCTATCTATTTCTATCTCTATCTCTATCACTCACTCACTCACTCACTTACTTACATACTCTCTTTCGCACATGTAAATAGCGGTGTGCGTGAGTGCGCGCGCGTGTGTGTGTTTATATGAGAAAGAAGCGAGCGTGGTAAACACGCCCATAAAGTGGAACGAGGGAGATTGGCGGTGGTGGCAACGTCGGCGACGGCGACGTGGGGGGGGGGGGACGCACAGAGGTGGATCTTGAATTTGGCTG